TGTTAGAGGTTTTACATATAGTTAGGTCTCTCAAGCATGATCGTGGGATATATATACCCGCTAGACTTGATTCTTAAATTTCCTTGAGAATAACAACCACTTAAAGAATAAACAATTTTACTCCTAATATTAAGGGAGCGTGGTCCACTTCTCTCGTGACTACTTCCGTATATTAATAAGATACTATTTGTCGCCACCACCTTTTCATTTTTATATAAGAATGACATTGCATATCTCAAATGAATAAAAGTCTCATAAGTTTTTTATTTGGCCTTTTATTTATAGGTCCTTATAGAATGAGTATTTTTTTCACCTCCTAATATTACTATTTTTATGAGATTTAAGTAAGAGGACATAAGACTCTATTTTATTAAAAAGTATTTAGAACAAAAGATTTTAATTTTCAAAATTTATATTTTTTCCAAAAAAGTAAATTAAAACATAGTTTCTAAAATTCTTTTTCTTTTAAATCTTATATAAAATTTTGTTTTAATTTTTTAAAATTAATTTTAAAAATACTTGAGGTTGATGGAACAACTCAACTATTATGTATTATTTAAGTTAAAACTCGTATGTATTAGTTGAGTTAAATAAAATTAAGCAGTTGATTTTTGATTCGATCAATAACAATAATATTTATTTATATTTTTATATTAATATAAAATAAATTATTAATATTTATAAATCAACAATTTAAAAATTAAAAAATACTTTATTCTTAAGAAAATTATTTTCTTCTATACATGGAAAAAATCTTAATTTTATAAAATATTTTAAAATTTTTTATGAAAGTATAGAAAAAAACCTGAAATTCTACTTTATTTTGAAGGACTTTAAGTTAAGAGAGCTTACTTGTTTTAGGGATTATTTATTCTTAAAATTTTAACTTTTGAATTTCGAGATTATTAAAATTAAACCCCAATTTTAAACGCCATAGTCAATTAACAACTCTACATAACATGTTATCAGGTGGCCAACAGCTATTTGTTGACTACATGACTATGCTTTACTATTTTTTTTTAGAGCATCGTTATTTCTTATGAAACAAATTAGACAAGAAAAGTATGAATAAACACATGTCATAATTTTAGAGTAAAATTTTAAATTTAATTTCTTTTTTTAATAAGAATCATAGAAGAAGGATAGTAATGAATGATCAAAAATTATTCTTGTCTTTTTATATTTATTTTTTCTTAATAATAAGCATTTTTTTATGAGGTAATTATGTTTATTAATTGTAGTCTACTCAAAATCGTCGAACCTTACCTCTTCTTTTTTATGGAGTATTATTTACGCAAATATTAAATTAACTTAGATTTCTTCAATTAACCACAAATATTGTATTTATTTCTTTATTGTCATGATAACGGTTAAACTCTATCTCACAATTATATCTTCATAGCATATACCAAAGCACGTTGCAAGAAATTGTTTTGCTTGTGATCTATCTGAAATTATTATCATAATTGAATTAACTGAGAAGTCTATTATGAAGTCAAACATTTAAATAGAAGGGTCAAAAATGAACCAAATATAAAGAATGGTAGGTATGATTTTTCTAAGACAAACAAGCTCAAAGTTGATGGCGCTATTGTATGTTGAAAATCCATCAATATTTTCTAATTTATTAAACTGATATATTTTTCTCCGGTGCAAACACACCGATATTTTACTAGTTAATTCAGTTATATAATTAATCACATGAATTTTAAAAAATATTTTTATTATTTATTAAATTTAATTTTTCTCGGTTTTTCTACGTGTTGGATTTGAACTTTTTGAAGTAGTTTCGGAATTGCACATGCGAAATATGTTAAAGGTTATTTCGGATGTGCATCTTTGAAACTACCATTTCCATATTAAAATGTTGTATGGTCACCTATTCCAACTATTTCATTCATTTTTCTTTTCTCCATAAACAAAACCCTTATAAACCTTCAGTCATTTTCAATGGATTTTTCGTCTCTAAATCAAGTTTCAAGTGTTTGAGTATAACAAAGAGAGCATAGAAAGCTGCAATTTGAGATAAACTTATGTTATTTCATTACACATTTCCTACATTGAGGCTGATTTGTTGAAGATGAAAACAACGTCGCTTCAGATATGCACTTCCGAATTCAACCTACCATAATTCGGAAGTGCATATCTGAAAAGTGTTTGTTTCAAAACCAGAATTCTGTTTTAACATAATTCATGTTTTTTTAACATGTTAGGTATGATGCACCCCGATAATATTGTCAAAATTCTCGTAAATGTTCCGAACAAGGTCAATGAAGATGATAAGCCGATTGAGGTGAAAGACGTTGATAAAACGAAGGATGTTGTGATCAATTATGCACAACAATTTCAAACCGATAAAAGTTTCACTACTCGTCAACATATGATTGAATGATTCGAATGGAAGATAGCAAACTTGGGTTTAGCGTTGTGATTGAAAGGTCCGACAATGGGACTAGTAAAAGACAATCATTTGTTGTGATGACATGCAAGCAGTGGGAGATATGTTCCAAAAATTTGGAAGATAAAACATGATGACACATGATCGAGGAAATGTGAGTGTCTGTTTAAATTGCACGATTATTGTAGGGTGGATGATTTATGGCGGTATAATGTCATGTCCGGTATGCATAATCATGCATTGGACATCAAGCTACACACACATCCAATTGTATGTCGGCTTAAGACGGTAGAGAAGGAATTTATTTCTGAATTGTCGTTGATCAAAGTTGCGCCGAAAAACATACTTGCCGGTTTGAAACGGAATAAACCAGAATGTGTCTCAAATATCAAGTCGGTTTACAATCATCGTTATAAACAACACATCGCACAAAGGGGTCTGGGGTCCGAAATGCAACATTTATTGAAATGTTTGGACGATAACCACTATGTTTCTAGGTACAGAGTTTGTGAGGACAACGTTAGTATTCGTGACATTTTTTGGACTCGTCCAGAAAGTATCAAGTTATTTAACACATTTTCAACCGTCCTTATGATTGATTCAACCTACAAGACCAACAAGTATAGGCTTCCACTTCTAAAAATTGTCGGTGTTACATCTATGGACAAGACTTTTTTGGTTGGATTTTGGATAGGATGGTAGAGTTCACAAATTTGATGGAGCTTGAGAGAGAATTAAATAGGTAGAAATCGAAGAAAAAATCGTTTTAAAATTTAAGCGGTGACAATTCGTTCGGTACATTTTAGAATGTAATCGAACCATTTTTTGAATGTTTAGTCGAACCATTTTTTGAATGTATTGTTGTACACATTGTAAAAACTATACGTTTCAATACATATATAACATATTATCTATATTTAATGTTACAATTATTTATTTTTCATGCACTTTTGTACACAATAATGATTCTGAGTTCTGGTTCTGCATAATTCAGAAATGCACTTTCGAATTAACCTTCAATTTAAGAAAAAACAACACATGACTTATTTCGGATATGCACTTCCGAATTCACCTCTTATTTTTATAAAAAAATTGTGGTGTCTTCGGTTGTGTATATCGGAAAACCCCTATTTTTGATAAAAATAGGGAGAATTCGGAAGTGCACTCTGAAATATGTCCTGATAAGATTTCTTTAGTCCATATTGCTGCAAAAAGTCTATATATTGGGTCTTCCATTTCATTTGTTTATCAATCACATACCACAATCAGAAATGACACAAACATATTCACACCTTGCTTTTGTCTACTTTAGTGGTGCACAATCGCCACTTCAATTTAGGTTCTCGCAAGACACGTCGTTCGCAGAGTTCATTACCGTGTTGCATTCTCTCTTGCAATATCCATATAATCGAAAGGTGGTCAAGCTTGAGTATCGTACACCTTCGATTGACACTAAAAAAAACATAAAGTTCATCCCGTTTGAACTCAAGAACGACGACGATTTAGAGGTTATGTGGGATATCTTTCAACAAAACTCTTCTAAGGGTCTGACTGAGATGGATACGAAGCTTCAAAGATCAGTCGAAGATGTTATCAAGATGTTGCGACGTCCTCAACTATCTGTTTATAACAATATGTAACTTTAATTTTCTGCATAACTATTTGTGTAACTTGTTTGAATTATGTTGAATAAATCTTATGAATTATGTTGAATTTTTGTTCTGCCCGAGAATACTTTCGGATATGTATTTCCGAAAATGTCTAACAGGTGACTTCGGATATGCATATCCAAAATAAATTTAATAATTCACGTTGGTATTCCGTTCAGAGACGTACTTCCGAATTCTAAGAGTATTTTGAAAGTTTCGTCATATGTACTGAAGAAATACACTAAGTGTAGAAAAAAATTCTCAAAGTTTTAATTGAATCAGCAAAAAAGTAAATGATGAATGTGAATGGGAAGTTTTCTGATAAATAATCAACTTAGAATCACTATTGCATCACGTCGCACCACACCCCTCGTCACATTTCCACTACTATCAGTTGAGTCTAAGACACGTTTAAGCCGACCCCAAGGGCATGCGGTCGCTGCCCCTGCCTCTCTTTAGTGTCTACATAAATATGAGTCATACACAACAGACGCATTACAATTTACATTCCACATTCTAAGATCCGAATAAAAAACAGCTTAGTTAACACAAAATGCATCAGCCTCTTCGGTGTCTATGTATATATGAGTCATACTCTGACAGACACTATACATTCCACATTCTGAAATCTGAATAAAAAACAGCTTGGTTGACATAAAATGATTGTTCATAAAATTTCTGTATAACATTATAGTATTCATGGGGCAAGACAGTACAATACTGTTGACTTATTGTATTCATCTTGAAGTTGAAGAGTTCCCTACGCCATACTTTATTTAGGACCATTGTAACAAGAAAAATAACTATGTTGAAACATGGAAATAAAGAAAATTAACTATAATGAAACATGAAAATAAAACTTTCTGAGGTCACAATAATTAATCCTAGAGGATCCATCCAATGTTACACGTGTCGGAACCTCATTGGCTAATCTGAACATTGAGCTGCAGCTTTTACTCCTCTACAGGAGGGTCTACCCAACGTCCGTGCTCTTTTATCAGATCGATCAAGGCATCAGTTGCTTGTTCCATTGCAATTGCGCGCTTCACCACAGTCTGCAATTGTAACCATTCCATTGAACTTAAAGTCAAACTTCATTCAACATATATAAAATTCAATTGACATTGATTTTTTTCCAGGACATAAGTGCATGTTTAGATTAGTGGTGTTGCAAAATATGTGCAGTTCGAAATGAAAGCTTGCATTTAAGCATAAAGAACGTGTTACCTTCCCAACATAGAGATCAATCTTCCCAGGAGCACCGCCAACATACCCGAAGTCCGCATCAGCCATCTCTCCCGGACCATTTACAATGCATCCCATGATTGCAATCTGATACGCACAGCAACCGAAAGTTAATAACAGAAAACAAAGCACTTTCGCTTTGCATAGACGCAGTTTACAAACATTAGTACGCTGATACAATTTGGAGCTTGTACTATGAAATACGAAGGAAAGGACTCGATGATATTACCGAAACACCAGGGAGGTGCGATGTCTTCTCTCGAATTTCTGCACTTATTTCTTGAAGATCAAACAAGGTTCTGCCACAGGATGGGCATGAGACGTACTCCTGCAAGACATGTTAGGCATATCAGTAAAGATCGAAAAAATTTATTTTCCAATTCAAGTTTTGTGTTTATGTGCTTGAACAACATACTGTTTTAGTATTTCTCATTCTGCATCCTTGCAGCAAATTGAAAGATGTGTTTCTAATGAAGTCAAAATCTTTGTCTGAGGCTTCTAAAAGAAGACCGTCTCCAAGCCCGTCAACCAGCAGGGCTCCAGCATGAGAGCCAGCACCAATCACTAAGTCATCCCTGTAAGAGAGTTGATTAGGCTTACAAGAACTATATGTTAGTTCATCTCACTTTAACTAAAATTTACCTGTGAATTCCGTTTGGAAATTGAATGTGGTGAATGACAGGAAAGTCTAGCGCATTTTCTGATAGGTACTCGAATAACCTGATGCCGGTAAGATATCGTGATTAGTAAAGATAGATTGTATATACTAGTTGAATTCAAGTAGTAATTTTGATGCAGAAAGTTGTTAATAATGTGAAGTATCATTCTCACCGCCTTGCCGCGTGCACTCTACTAACTCTCTCTTCAGTATAAGGCAGGTCATGGAGAATCAAAGTTGCATCAACACCTTTGAGAATTTCCAGTTCTTCATAAGACTCGTCGCCACGTACTGACACAGCCAATCGTGTGCCTAATATGTAACAAATAGATATATAAGATCACACATTTACTAAGAATGTGAAAAAGAGGAGAGAGAAAAAAGTGCGGATTTAGTAGCACCTTGTGGCAAAAGCTTATCAGCTCCAGTAGATAGCTCCTTAAGGTTTACCAGAACTATGGCATTTGGTAATGGCTTTGTTAGCTGCTCTGACAAAGGAACTATAATTCCCATACTTATATCAACCAGTCTTTTTAGAGCTAACCGCTGATCAAACAAGAGAGAGGAAGAGAAAATCATTCCAACGGTCACAATAACTTGGCAATGTAAAAATGGTTTGGTAGATAAAAATTATGAAAAGTAAATTCTTGTAATTTAGACTTGGATGTCAATGTGAAGGTTCTTAGTTCTTACAGAATCAACATCATCTGCTGGAGGAAGTTCCCGCAATAAGATTGAATCAACTGTTGCCAGATCCTGAATATACAGCGCATACTATGTAAATAACTTGTTATTTAAATCCAGAGGACATTTAATTGAGTACAATTTAGTAACCAAAACCTTAAATGGCATGCCGACAATGAGTTTCGCAGCAAGGGACTTGTAAAGGAGCTCTGGCGTCTGTTAAAATCACAGAATAAAGAGGATATAAATGTGATTAACACAGATCAATATGTTGAAAGGGACATTTGGTCAACCAAAAAGAGAGAATAAAGGGGCTGCTCAAATGTTACCTTTAACTGATCCAAGGAGACTGACATGAGAACAGATCCGTCCCGGTGGAGCGTACCTCTATAATCCACCTCCTCACCCTGTATTAAGATGGAAAGTTATGTAACTAATGCACGGTGCAGTGCCATAGGGAAGGACGACGTGGAAGAAAGTTCACAGTCTGTGTGTAAGGTGTATATCTGGTTAAGATTTTCTACAAAACTTCTAATATTAACCTGTTTTTGCACTGGCAGTTGACCAGTACGGCGCTGGAAGTCAAAGTAATGTCTGTGCTTTTCTTCAAAAGGTGCCTGACGAAAGTAGTGTCAACAAAAGTAAGTTTATAAGATTTTAGGACGTTAGACGTTGGAAAGTTTAGGCATGTCAGACTGAATCATTGTTTTGAACCATACCACTCCTTTCTGGAGTTCAGATGCTCTCATTCCAAGGTTTGCCAACCTTGTGCAAGGAACTATCTCCTCCTCCGGTGCTTCTGTGAGTGAAACTCGTATTGTATCGCCCAATCCATCCTGATGAAAAACATGTCATCAACATATGCGAGAGTCTGTAGTGCATAAACTAACGAGATTTATGAAAATTGAATAATTTTCATTCATACATGAGTATAATTGAATAATTTTCATTCATACAAATTATAGCTTCAAGTTAGAATCAATTTTGGAAGCAAAATCAATTATACTCGATAACATCAAAACATGTCAAAATCGATTCAGATGCATACCTGTAGAAGAGTTCCGATGCCAATTGCAGACTTCATCCTACCATCCTCACCTTCTCCAGCTTCAGTAACTCCCAAGTGTAATGGATAATCCCAGCCTTGGACATACATTTCAGCTACAAGTAATCGGTACGCCTGAACCATGATAACTGGGTTGCTTGCTTTCATAGAAAACACAAAATTGTGGTAGTCCAGCTTTCGGCATATCCTTGCAAATTCAAAAGCAGATTCCACCTGTCCAATCATTGCTTAGTAAGACGGACAAACTCTAGCGCAAACACCTTTAATACACAGATCATGCATTGCAGAATAATATGAGAAATGACTTACCATTCCCCTAGGAGAATCTCCATAGTAACTCATTATACGATCAGAAAGACTTCCGTGGTTTGTTCCAATGCGCATTGCTCTCCCATATTTCTTACATTTTTCAACTAAGGGCGTGAAAACCTATAATTTTAAACCATAAATTAGGTCAAAAAGTTCACATTTCAGTCGAGGTATTAATAATTTAACAAACATTGGATAGAAGAAAATAAACTTTTTCAAAGCATCAGAGGAAAATATAAACGAGACAGGTGGTTCGAAACCTGTTCAATATGTTCAAGTTCTTTCTGATAATCGTCTTCAGTGTACTCCAGTATTTCAAACTGAGCTCGTCTGTCGGCTGTGAAAGACAGCATTTTTTATTCAGTATGCAAGACAACATAAAAAGAGAATATAAAAAGACAACTGAATTGGCGAAGAAACGAATACCGAAATTTCCAGGGTTGACACGAATCTTATCAAAGCATTCAGCTACTCGCAAAGCAATAGTCGGAGCAAAATGAATATCAGCCACCAATGGTATGTTGTAGCTGGACATAGGCACATAAAGATGCAGATGAATACATAAACAATATGAACGTACGATATCAAAGCATTCATTATAATTTATGCTCACTTTTTCTGCACAAGCGAGTTTTTAATCTCGAAACAAGCATCAGCTTCTTTTCTCCCTTGAACTGTTATCCGAACGATATCAGCTCCTTTATCTGCTATTCTCATCACCTGCCAACAGACAGAACAAAAAGAACCAACCATTGACATCTTAATAAAATCGATTAATTGTATCTTTTTATATCGGCCTAAAGTAGAAGAAAAATCGTGTAACCTGTTCAACTGTTCCAGCAACATCCTTAGTATCGGTCGTAGTCATGGTCTGAACTCTTATCGGATGCTCGCTACCAATAGTCACGTCACCGACCGTCACTGTCCTTGTTTTCCTCCTCACAGTTTTGTGCAGTGATTCACAATACTTTTGCCTAGGAACTAAATTCAAAATATTATCCACAAATTAAGCTAAACTAAAACAAGATTAAGAATGAAAATTGATTCACAAACAAAACAATTGAAGATTCAAGAACATGAATATACCTAAAAGCTGACTTCCTTTGGAAGCAGGTTGAAGTTCAACAACCTCCTGACCAGGATTTGAATTTTTGATAATCGACACTTTAGTCCTTGCAGATTTCATTCTTTTCAAATCAGAAACTCTCACAAAATCAATACTTTTCACAAACCCCAAACCGGATTCAGACATCCTGAGGCTGGAAAACGAAGCAGGCACAGTTCCAGAAGCCATTTTTGAAGCACAATCACACCTATAACACACAGATTTGATAATTTGTAACACCACAAGCTATCACAAAGTTTCAAAATTTAGCTAAAAAGAAAACAATTATTGAGTTAAACTGAAATGGGTTGTTGGTGTTTACCTGGTGGAGATGAGAGAGAGGGAAGAAATTCAAAGGCTTGTTTGAAACTCTACCTGATTATTATAGTTATGTAAAAGAATTATTGTTGACTGAAAAACATGACAAATAGCATTTTTCTTTCTTTCGTTATGAGTTATGAGAATCTAAAATTATATAAACCACGATTATTCTAAGTAGCTAACTGACATAGATTCACGCATAATCCTATGTGGTTTCTGTTTTCCTATTTGTACATTGAATCGTATGTTCTTTTGTGCATTGAACATCTACATTTTAATATTATTTTATTATAGTAATTTATTTTCTTAAAATGAAATAATTTGATTGTTAGAATTTTACTATTTATTAATAAATAAATAAATAAAATGGTACAATTGAATGTATCTGCAATTATTTAATGTTAACAAATTTACATTCTTAAAGTGGAGAGTTTTTAATTACTTTCTCGATTATTTATTGGTGTGTTTGTATTGAATTTAAGGGGGAATTGTTGTGAAAAAATTTGAGATTTTATTTTGAGATTTCTTTAAAATTTTGAATTTAACTTGTTTATGTTAGGGCTATCGGAGGTCAACACGAGGGAACATGTTTATATTTGAAGACTTTTCTTTTTAAGCAACACATATTTGTGAGAGACATCCCACATACTCACTCAAAATCTTAAAGTAATAGGTGAATGGATTATCCCACTTATAAATGTTCAAGTCTCCACATTTCTAACAAATATGAGACTTTTCCACACTACTCACAGTTGTAATTTCTTTTCAACACTCTCCCTTAAGTGTGAGTCTATCCACAATACTCTCCCTCAAGTGGAAGATTTTTCTTCCACATACACTTGTACCGCTGTTGACACTCTTCAACGGGACACTCTATCCACGACCATGTAGGGATACTTTTGATACAAGTAAGTCGATCTCTTCACTCGAACCAAACTCTGATACCATTTATTGTGTAAAAAGTGATTCATTAATGTTACATTAACAATAGCTTGCCTTATATAGGCTACAAACAAGAATTACAAACCCAAAGTAATGGGCCTAAGCTAAACAGGGCACAATAAGCCCAAAATATCAGCTAATACTCAACAAACTCTCCCTTAAGTTGATCTATATATAACTATAGATCAACTAATAAAAAACAGAGAATTCAAGTTACTGAAACAGAACAAAACAGACAATAGAAAATTATTTGATGCAGCAAAGATCACACAATCCTAAGTCCTCCCTCAATTTGCAGAAAGTTTCCACCTTCAGTGCCTTTGTCATAATGTCAGCCAATTGGTCTTGTGATTTGCAAAATTTTAGCTCAATAACTACATCATTGTTGAGATCTCTGAGGAAATAGTATCTAACATCAATATATTTGCATCTCCCATGCATAATGGGATTCTTTGAGAGTTTGATAAATGAATTGTTATCAAAGTTTATTGTAGTACAGTTGCTTTGGTTCAAATGCAGGTGATTCAATACATTTCTCAACCAAATGCATTAACATGAACTAGAGACGGCTGAGACAAACCAAACCTCAGTGGAGGACAAAGTGACAATATGTTGCTTCTTGGAAGACCAACAAATTGCACTTAATCCCATTGTAAACACATAATCAGAGGTGTTTTTCCTATCATCATGATCACATGCATAATCACTGTCAGTCCATCATTGCATCATCAAATCACCATCAGTTTTACACCTATACATGATTCCAAAACTCAAGGTTCCCTTCAAGTACCTCAAAATCTGCTTGAGTGCAATAACATGCAACTCAATTGGCCTTTCCATATATCTTGCAGCTAAGCAAACAGAAAAGTTCATGTCTGCACTTGTGGTTAGAAGATACATCAAACACCCAATCACCTCTTTTATACAATGTAGCATATATGGCTTTTCTTTTTTCATCATTTACTAACTTTCTTCCAAGTACAATTGGGCTACAGACTTTGTTGCAATCTTCCATTCCAAACCTTGTCAGTATTTTATAGGCATACTTTTTGTGATAAATGAATATTTCTTGTTTACATTGACTTACTCCAATTCCCAAGAAATATTTCATTTTTCCAAGGTCTGACATAGCAACCCTTTCTCTCATGGACCCTTTGAATGTTTCAATCAGCTCATCATCATTGCTAGTGTAGACGAGGTCGTCTACATACAACTAACAATGAGAATCTCGCCTTTACTTACATGCTTGACAACACAAAGTTGGCTCATGAGGACACTTCTCAAAGTTTTTTGCATTGAAGTAAGATTCAATCTTACTATACCAGGTTCTAGGTGTCTCTGTCTTAGGCCGTACATGGCCTTCTTTAGCTTATAAACTTGATCATTTCATCCTTTGTGATATCCCAATGGTTGTTCCATGTACACTTTCTTGTTGGAACAAAATTTGTTTATATTCATTGGGTTTCGAGGATAGCAAAGTGTTTAAAGAACAATTGGGTATACTAACTTCTGTTTAAGTGTGCAGGATCATAAGCTCAAAATTAACTTGGTTTTGATCCTGTTAAATAGCCTATGAAGAGAAGCAAATGATTTAGATTCTGAAGGATTAGAATTTGGTGTCTCAGCACTTGGAATTTCAGCTTCTGATGAACAACTCAGATTCTGATGACATGGAAAACAAAGTATAACACCTCTGGTCCATACTCTCTGAAAATCAGTTCTATCTTGTCAAAATCGATATTATGGATAAATTCAACTAGGGTCTCCTAGTGCAAGGCTCAAGGTTTTTTTTCACAACATCTTTAGTCTTCCCCAATATCCTTATGGTTGCCATGATTGAGAAAGACACAATGGATAAAGCTTTTACTTAGAAGATAAAGATCTTAACTGCATCAAACTTCTAACGTCTCTCTCTTGGAAACTTCTTCTCAGCAAAGACACTTGTGCAAGTCATCTTCCAACGACTCTTGTGTTGCCTCTTTATAAGGAACTGAAGATTTGGAGGAAGATAACAAGAATAAGAATAACAACTAGAACAAGACTGAATTGTTGGTTAGGATCTCATATATATTTTTGTTGTATTTCACATATTCTTGAGATTTATCATCTTTGCATATCTTAGAAATCTCAAGTGTTAAAGTCTTTGATTGTGTTGTATTCTTTGTGCACCTCTTATTGTATATCAAGTGTATCTTGTTGTCTATTCACCTAAACTGCTTTTTTTTAATAATTTTAGTAGAAGTCTCTTGCTAGGTTGATTGAGCAAAATAAATATCTTGCTAGGTTGCTTGAGTAGAAGTCTCTTGACAGGTTTCTTGAGCAAAATTCTCTTTCTAGGTTGATTGAGCAAAGGAAGTCTCTGGCTGGTTTGCTTGAGCAGATTGTAATCAGGTTTTGATTATAGTAAAAATCTCTTGTGGAATAATGGGACTGGACTATTCTAGGTTATGGAGGAACCATGATAACTTCTATATGTGTTGTTACTTGTTTCTTCTATACTTTATCTATTTTCGTTGCTAACTACTCCAAGCTTGGACTCTAAATTTATTCAGTTTCTGAAGCTACTTTCAAGAAGAGAAAAATATTTCACCATACACAATTCAACCCCCCCCCCCCTTCTTGTGTATTTTTCTCACATTTATTTCTCAGTTAATTCTCCATGTAAAGAGGCACTTTTTACATCTGTTAGATCCATAGTTTTATGATTGACATAAATTTTGTTAAAACATGGTTTATAGCTGATGTTGAGCAAGATGTCATGATATCTTGACCAACTGTCATGACAAGTTTTACTGTCATGAATATCAGACAAATGTTGAGCCAGATGTCTTGACATCTTGGCCAACTGTACAACAGGTGTTGCTATTATTTTTCTTGACATGTTTGATTTTGTGAGATCCTCTTGGATATATCTCACTTATTTTTGCAGGTCAAGAATATTTTATTAGGAACAATGCAGATTTGATTTGGTTTCATAAAAAATATCTTTGAGACTTTTTAGGAAACTTTGAAGATTGGTTCTTATTTTTGTAGAAGACCTTGCAGCTGATTTAAAATTAGAAGATTGAATTTAATTGAAGAGTCCAAGCCCATACTGCAAGAGTTTATATATAAGGACTTGCTAAACCTAAAAATAGCAAGTATTCACATATAAAAACTGTGGGTACATAATATTAGGGTTTAGGATTTTGAGAGTACTTTAGGTGTTTTGTTTGTTTTTGTGTGTCACCTATGTATCTTTTGATACATTGAGGTAGACTGATTGTTCATTGTTACATGTCCATCACTCATGAGCTTTTAAGCAAATAGTTGATTGTGTGTCAAATTATTGTTCTTAGTTAAAAGCTTTTAAACAAAATTAAGTATTGTAATTGGAAGTGTGTTCTTCTGTTTTTGTTAATGTCACTGAGGTAACTGTGGAAAGTGAGAGGGGGATCTCATATCTAGAAGGTTTCTAGGTAGAAGTTGCACAAGGTAGTGATTAGGTTATAAGTTGTAAACTAGGATTGTTTAGCTTTGAACTAATACTATCATAGTGAATCTCCTTCCTGACTTAGATGCCTTCAGAGTAAGTGAATTGCACCGAACTGGGTTAACAATTGATTGTCTCTTTTACCTTCTACAATTTACTTCTGCATAATTATTATTTTATTAGTTAACCCCCTCCAAAGTGGGTGTCTTCTCTTGTAATTATTGTTTTGTTAGTTGACCCCTCTCCAAAGTGGGTGTTTTCTCTTGACATCTTCTTCAAGGAAGGGTTCCAACTAGAGAAAATCTTATTAAGGGGCATGTCTTACTAAACACTTGTGATATTTCCTATGTGGTGTGTTCCAGTCCTATAAAGTCATTTTTCCACCGGTTTGCAGTTTGTGAGGTTTTAGCTACATTGTGTTATTGGATTTTTAGGTGATTAGGGTGATATTTTC